CAGCTATTGTCTTTTTGAAGAAGGAGCACTTATAAGTGGCTTGTTGCTCCTCTTTGCAACTTTCAAGATTTTCCCCTTTTCTTTCAGCACTTTTACCATGTCTGTCTGTAAGCTCTGTATTTATCTTGGGAATTCTTTAGCTTCCTGGATGTGTACATTATTGTTTTTCAATACATGTTGGAAGTTTTTAGCCATTATTTTTTAAATATCTCTTTCTTCTCCTTTCTTTCTGGTATTCCCATTATACTTCTAATGGTGCCCTGAATGATGTCCCACATTTCTCCAAGTCTCTGTTCATTTCTTTATGGTTTTCTCTCTTTGGTTTGCATAATCTCTATTAGTCTGTTTTTCAGTTTACTAATTCTTTCTTCCACCTGCTCAAAATATTCTTGAACCTTTTCCATAAGTTGATTTCAGATATTGGGCTTTTTACCACTAGAATTTCCATTCGGTGCTTTTTAATAGTTTATGGCTGTGTTTTGGTATTCTATTTGATGCAATACTGTCATTAACGCTTTCTTCTTTTAATCATGGTTTGTTTTAGTTCTCCAGACATCTTTATAATGGTTACTTTGAATTTTTTTTTTTTATGATCAGTATGACATATGGTCACACTTACTGGCAGTATCTATGGCCTGCTTTTTTTTTCCAGTGTATAGGTCAGTAGGTTCTTCAAATTTTTTGGTTGGAAAGTGGACATTTTCGATTATATGCTGTATAGCAACTCTGAGTACTGCTTGCTCACCTGCCTTGCTCTTGTGATTTGCTTGTTTAGTATCTGGGTAAATTGTTTCCATGGCATTCATTTTTGTTCCCATAGTGCTAAGCCCCTGATGACTTAGGAAAGTGCAGTTTGGGGATTCCCATGGTCATCTTTGGATGATAGTGGCTTTGCTAGGGCTCTCTCCCATTATTTCTCTGAGCATACCCAGTTGTGAAATTCTACTAATTAAGAGCCGGTTGCTTTATTATTTTCAATATTTTCCTAAGGGAATAAATTTCTCTACAAACTTCTCCAATCAAATTCTGACTAATTTGGAAGAATATTTTCGAGATCAGTGTTGGGTATTTGTCTAATGTCAGGAGGGCTCCTCCCAACTGTCTTGATTTCAGTTCTGTCATGAAAACTAGTGGGTTTACAGTCTGGGCTGGATCTTCATTAGATCCATGAATCACCTCCCAGTTCCTTTCATATAACCTCCACTGTTCCTGAAAACATCTTTAGGTTGAAACTTCTCCATGCTCTGTCACAAATAAGGTAGTTCCTTTGGGAAGAAATTAGGTGCTATCTTTTTCATAGTCTGCTTTTCCTCCTGGGCAAAATCTTTAAACCAAGACTCTGGATACCGGGGTCAGGGCAATAACAAGCTTCTCTCTGAGTGATACTCAGAGCCCTTGGGAAAGGAAGTAGTACTCGTGGCCCTCTCAGCTTGCCTCTCCTGTCATAGAACCACCACTTCTAGCAAGGAGAAAAGGTACCCCAGACACAGTATTCTCAGTGAACCAAAAGAAGGAACCAATCCTTGCTGCTGCTCAACCACTCTCATGCAGGAGAACCTCAGTAACAGGAGAGAAATGGGAGTATGGTGAGAAATGCTTGTGTCCTGCTCCTTAGAGAGGAAAGACCTGGCTGGTAGCTGGAAGGAGAGGGAGCTCTATTTTATTGTCTACAGCAGTCTGAAGTGGAGTCTCTTCCTCCTTTAGCTCCAGTCTTGGCTCAAATGCCATAGATTCTCACCTTTCTTACTGCATTGTCATCAATTTTCTTGAACTGATGTTTCTTTATTTGATGTGCACTTTTAGGACCATTTCATGAAATTATTAAATGGTTGTGTTTTTAATACTTTTCACTAGTATCACTGTGAAACTGAGTCTGTCTCATTTTCCCTGTTTTTACAACTTGTCAATCATTTCAGTAAGACTCTTGTAGGAGATATTGGATAATTATGCTTATATAAGTCATATTTATCTAAATCTAGACTATTATTTCCCTCATTTTAACTCCAGAAACTAGCACTGTTTTCTACATGTAGTATGTTCACAGTGTCACTTGCCTGTGATGCCAATATTCTAGCAAGAAATGTCTGGGAGTTCTAAAAATAGGGAGGCAGGGAATTAACAGTTACATAGTGGTCCAAAGCATGGATGATGAGTATTGGAACTAATTTCACCACTTCCTGGGTGTGTGACTTTGTTTATCCCATGCTTTAATTAAATTCAACTAGCAGATAAAGTTCTCATGTCAGTAGCATATGTGTTCAATATTTTCAGCATATACTTGATATATGCTAATATTTCAGACATTGCTAGGATGTATGTATGTACAGTATATACAGAGAATATGTGATATATATATATATATATATATATATATATGAATCTTCCTGTGGTTAAGTCTTGCTATCCCTTTGTCCCCCATGATCCCTTGCACCTCCAGGATAGGAAGCATTAGTTTATTTTAGCCTTTATCATCACTGTGATCTTGGGAAACACAGATCTCTTTTTCATAGTAGAGCTCAAATGGGAATATGTCCCAGAATCCAGGGGATTCTGCCTCTGAAGTACATCTAGCACAGAATATCTGATTGAAATTTACTGAAGACTTGGGAAGATTGGAAAGGGAAATGGACTCATTGAAGACATGCCACTCAGTAGTTCACACAGGCTAGATCCACTCAGGCTGCTGCCATCCAGACACACTACCTCTGCACCCTCCACTCAAGAGCACACCTCAGTCTTCTTAAAGTCCTGACCTAAAAGAGTGAGAATCTTCCCTTTCCTGTCGAGCTGGCCTCCTGCCCAGGTCCAGGCCCCATTCATCCCTGCACAGCTGCTCATGGAGTGATGAGGTACTCTATCTACACACTGTGGGGACATTGTGGCGAGTAAGTCATCACCAGCCTCACCACAGACATTATCTACAGGGGTGAAGACAAAGAGCAAACGACAGGCTGCTGACCAATAGTCATAAGTGCCAGGAATAAATAAATGAAGAGTTACTAAGTAGAGACATTTCCTGAGATCTTAAAGTTGAGAAGGAGCCAATACCATAAAAAGCAAAACAAAAAGCATTCCAGGGGTGAAAGGAACTGCAAAGACCCTATAGCAAGGAGAAACTTCAAGGTGGCCATTGCAACTAGAGCACAGAGAGCTGACAGAAGGTGGAAAAATCAGTTTGGTCATAACACATAGGATCCTGTGGGTCTTCCAGGGAGGGAAAGTAACTTCTGAAGGGACTGGAACAGGAAAGTGACATATGACAAATTTTAGAGTTTCCTTGGGTTGTGCAGTGAATGAGACTCAAGCTGTCCTCCTTTTGAATGTACAGAATGGTAGTGGTAGCAGCAGAGTATCAGAAATGGACAATTCTGATGCTTATTTTAATGTAGAACCCTCAAGCCCTGCAGCTGGGTGGGGAGGACTGGCACTGGCCACCCTTTCATGTGAAGTTCATCCCACTCACAAAGGCTTGGCATGCAGGCTTCAAAGTACACCCATAGGAGAACACAAATGATGATCCTCCATGTAAAAGAGCCTGCATTCAAGAAGAAGGTAGTGGGGCCGGGGTTGTGGCTCAGTGGTAGGGCATTGGCCTTGCATGCATGATCCTCAGCACTACATAAAAAATAAATAAATAAAAATAAAGATATTGGGCGGGGATTGTGACTCAGTGGCAGAGTGCTTGCCTTGCCCGTGTGAGGCACTGGGCTCAATTCTCAGCACCAAATAAAAATAAATAAACAAAATAAAGGAATTTTTTAAATAAAGATATTGTGTTCATCTACAACTAAAAAAAAATCTTGAAAAAAAAAAGAGGAGGAAGAGGAGGAGGAGGTAGGGGAAGAACTGTTCTTCCCAAAGTCAGGAAAGAATGGCAGCAGGGACAGAAAGTGTGAATGCTGATATGGAGAGACCAGGAAAGGAGGAAAGGCACACACACTCCCCCTAGAGGAGTAAAATAAACTGGAAAAAGAGAGTGGGCTTTAATGTACAGATTTGATCAAGGCATCACCCAATGCCCATCAACTGAACACCCAACAACAATGCTATTGTCTTGGGCAGGTGTTATTTACCTAGAACTCTGGTTGCTATTGCTCCAGCCCTCTGAGTTGCTAGGGCAGAGGAGGACAGTATCTATGAAGATGCAGGGTTCCGTATGGTACAGAGGTAAGAGCACCTATGGCTTAGGGATGGAGATAGGCTATAGGAAATGGACCCCAAGTGGAGAAAAGGGGAAAAAAATGCTCACTTTTCAAGGGTCCACTCCATGATGGCTTTGCATGCCTCTTATGTCATCCTCACTACTGGTAATACCTATGGCACTTTACACTTGAACTAACTCCCAAGGCTTAGAGTATGTGTGTCTGTCCATCATGGGGGACAGATGGTCAGCAGCCTTGATGGGCCTCTATTAAGACTTCTCTCACACATCTCAACCTCCAAAGTAACACCAAGTCTTCTACAGTTTTTCACCTCCTAGATTTAGTATTTCATATAATGACTTGTTGATTGTTGCTTTGGAGGTATCTCACCACGTAGGCACAAAGAACCTACAGAAGGCTCAGGAGTGTCTGGGATAGTCAAGGGAACATCGGTGAAGCTTTCCTCCCCTTCCAAAAGAAACACCTGTAATCTGTGACACCTTGTCATGAGCCTTTAGGCCCCCAATTTTTTGTTCCTGTCACTGTCCATGTATATTGTAACATGTGTGCTTTGACTCTAATTTTTAAAACCTCATAAACACGCAAACCACCCCGCCAGCCCATATTCGCTGGGTAGGGCACGACCCTCGCCACCAGCTGTTAGGGAGATCAAGGGTGATAGTCCCCACTGACCCGGTGCGAGCCGGGCTAGGGGCGGGGCGGAGCGTGTTTTCCCTGTCCCAGAGTGCGGTGCTGGCGGCGGAAGTCTCTGCCTGGGACTGAGCGCGGCCTCCTGCCTGCGCCTCTCACCAAAACGGAGATGTAATTCTTGCGGAGAAAACCTCCAGCTCTACTCACCACCACGTGTCCACTCTTGAGAATTACCGTGTCCTAACACACGCACGTCAATCCTGGCGGCAGCTGCGCAACCCCGTGGGGACCCAGGGCCGCTCTGGGTCCCGGTGCGCCGCGCCCGC